GTTTCGTTCGTCGGTTGCAGAACATGAAGTGAGGGAATCGAGTCGCCTTCAGGGATGAACTCCTGACGAGAGAGCAACGTCTATCACCATCATGATGGAACCGCCAGTTACGAGCAAGATCCTGCGAGCTCCTAACCTGAAGAGGGGTCAGGAGAACGTCAGGATTCAGGACAGGGTGAGTATCACTAGCTCCTACACGTCGATACGAAACTTTTACTTGGTTAATTGCGAATTTAACTTTCTTCTCAACTAATTCCTAATCTCCCGTGACCGTAATTATTTTTCCATCCGCGTGATTCTTTCGGGCGAGATAGCGGGACAACCTACGCGAACGTCTTAACGAAGCAACGTAGAAAATTAATTTGAACCGTGTTAAATTCTTTTTGACCAGCCGGCGTATCCAGCATGCGTGTCTACCTTGCTAGTCGACAGGTTTCTACGTTCGATTTTCAAAACCTCCATCGGTACATCCTTCGTCTTCTGAAACTTCAGAACTGACGCATATCTATCGGTTAACAACGTTACCGCGATCGATCCAACTTCCGTAAACAGATTTCACGGAACAGCGTGGCCGTGGAATTCCTGGAAAAACACTGAAAAGCTCCGGGTGGCGACTTACCTATAGAATGTAGAAGACAATAGTCCCAGCTCGACCGTGTCGATTTCTCGATGCGCGCCGGATGCACATTATGCATCCCTGTCGATGCAGCAGCCCCGGATTGACGTCACCGCGAGTCCCCCTTTTTTTTTTCAAGCCAGTCGCGCAGCGCGTCCTCGGTGTGCTTCCAGGAAGGTCCCCGCGTCTCTCGCACCCTGCTTATCGGTCAGGTATGCACCAGCGTGGGCGGCGAGGTGCACTTGCAGCCTGCATCCTCCTCCCTCGCTCTTCTTCAACCTTGGTGGAAAATTCGAGCGCCACTTTCCCTCTCGGGTTGCACTCTTTTCGTCCCTCTGCTAATCACTCTCGTACACATCTCCTTCGTATTTTTAGATCATGTTTTCTTTCCCAGCCGGAGCGAGACACTCGCTGCATATTTTCAGATGTCTTCGATCATGATCGACGCAACGAACCGTTGCATTTAGCTAGAAACGAAATAACGCGAGGAAAAAAGGAGGTTGTTCGACTTGGGAAATTGTATTTTTGAAATGCGTGGATCGTTGGTTTGCGTTCGTTCGAACAAGTGGTCGTCGATAAACGGACGATCTTCTTTACCCGATGAACTATTCTCTTGAAGATTACGACGGCAGGCGCCTTCTGTCTGCTCGTTCGAGTACTATGCTTCGCTTCGGTGTCGAACAATGCCGAAGGTTTGATACTTGGTTGCAACCGTAGTTGAGATAATCAGATCTGAGTTAACACTTTCGTAACGTTCGCATAGTTCCTTTCCAAGCAGCACCTCTATATATATCCACCCGTTTCTTCATTTCGTCGAACGTGCTACAAATTGAAATCTGGTGGAAAAAAATTGGAGAGAGAAGTAAGGCAAGGTTAGATTTCTCTCGCGAATTTATATAGGTTTTTGAAAGTACCGATCCGTCGTCCTTTTACCGGCGAGCGAGGAAAGAGATAAAAAGGCGCTGCACGCCTACGCGAGCTCCGAAATCAGGGTTGTGTGTAAATGAACGCGTGGGTGGGCGGTGGAGGATTATCAGCTCCGAGCTGGTCTCTTGTAATCTGTCCTCGCGTATCGGAGCAACGTGGCTTTGTCGTCGTCAACTATTGTCCGTTCTAGCTCGATCGTGGTCGGTATTTCGTACAAATACTCCTATCCAATTTCCAGCGGAAGTGTCGTCGTTCGCTCGAAATTACAAACGACTGCGACGTTGGTGGTAAATTTCAGGAAATTCGAAAAAAAAAGAAGAAAAAAAAAAGCATTAATTGCTCGTACCAGTTACTTCACCGCGTAGCGGCAAGGTTGTAAAATTTTCCGCTCTCCTTGCCATTGACTTCGAAATCGTGGTTACATTCTCGAAGAATCTGGTATATACGTCCGAAAATCGGAACCCGTTTCTGCCCGGCCGAGACCTCAACAAATTCATTTGCGATGCAGTCGCGGAACAGGTGTGCCGGTGGTCGCAGCTGGTGCGGGTCGTCGACCGAGTTCGACACACTTTAACCAGCGAGAACCCTCTGCTTTTACTTTTTCTCCTAAGGGCCAATGCCATCCGCCACGGCGCGCCGTCTCGTCAACCCGAGATCTCGTATCTTCATCCGATCTCCCCGGTATCGTGAAATTCGATCCCTCGGTCGATCGCCAGCTATCGAACTTGGTCGAACTTGGTCGAAAGTTGCCACGAATTCGGGCGAATTTGTTCGATAGGATCGAAGGCATGTAACGGATAGGAGGATGGTCGTCGTTAGATACAACTTCCTGCTTTGTCTAACGGTACGATACACCGGTGATTCTTCCTCCGCGCATTCCCAGGCGGCTGATCTTTCGATCTCTGTATTAAGTTGGAATTAACCGGTTGACTCGGGTGCGATCGAATTATTTTTCTGTTACAGTTGCTGTTCCCTTTTGTAAAGTAAAGTAAAGGACAGGTGAACGAAATGCATGTTTCAGAACGCGGTGTTTAACAGTTGCCGTGAGCGGCCTCGGGAAAACCTTTTAGACTTTATTACATCGCAGGCTAATGGCTAATAAGGGACACACCTTTGCTTGCTATCAGCCCTTTCCCCTTTACCATCCGCTAGCAGTCAGTTTTAATCAAATTGCTTCTTATCACGCGACCTGCTCTCCCCTTTTCTCCATTTTTGATTCTTCGAACGATAGGACTTATCTCGTCCTTTCAATTTCGGGGGAAACGGGAATTTTTTCCAATTACCTAATTGAATTTTAAAAAGAACGTACCTGCATTTTTCGTTTCTAAGAAACGTCAGCTGACGAGTTGTTACGCGAATGAAATGCATGTATTTCGTCGGTTTGTCGAGCGTTCAATCGGAATTTTGATCGGGAAGAGGGTTGAGATTATCGGGAATTTCACGACCCGCCGGAATACATAATTAAGGGAGTCCCGACCGATAACGAGTCTCGGAGGAACCAATTTCCAATCGCGGAAGCGGAAGAGACGTTGCGTTCGCGCGACGGATGCGAAGATCAGCGCTTGAATTAATTATTCGACCGCGCATTCTAGTCACACGAGTTCCACCGTCAATTTGCTCGAGTTCCTGCTCTTTCACCATTCAAGTTCGTTGTCCGATCGAATGCTCGCCGGCGACATCGATCACCGTTCTACGATTCAATTTGCAGAACCGATATTTTAAAAAGTGTAATTTTTCATTTTCACATCTCAGACCGAAGAGGCATATTCGGACGTTTCCTGGTTTTAATCAACGAAACGCCGATCGGGTGACGCGGCGCGATTACCGATTAATAAAGTGCGTCAATCGTTCGCGACGCTTCTCGCGCTGCAAGCAAAGCGCGACCGAGACGACAGGCCTCCGTGCAAATTTCGGTGAAATTACGACGGGTTTGTCGTCGCGCATCCACGAGCAGCTCAATTACATCATCCGGCTAAATAACTCGACTACGTATTCGCGCGTCCATCGTGAAACATGCGGCAGATAGCGCAAATCTACCAAATTTATCAGCAACTCCCACGTTTTGACGAGGGACCGGCCAAGATTATTCCGTGCCTCGTTAGTCGAGTCAAATTTCTTCCATCGATTCGAGTTGACAGATAAACCGTATCGCGCGATTAAATCGAACGCGAGACGAAACCTTACGGTTGTCGGTTTCGGGTAATTCTCGAAAGGAACCGTTCGTCTCGTGCTGCTCAACGAAGAAACGATTGGAAGTTGGCGAAGTTATCGCGGCTACCCACGTCTCGTAGATCGGAGGCAGAAATTACAGATTCGCTTTCATCCGACGGGAGGAGATTTTTTTCGGGCATACATATTCAGCGTTCCGGTTTTCGTTCGCGATCCGCCGGTTGCATAGACCGTTTCAATCTAAAGTCGCGATCTCGCTTTCGGAGTTTTACTTTCTTCCTTTGAATCGATAGCCTACAATTCCAGGAGAATAACCAGGCCGAATTCGCGTTACGTTGTCGGCCAATTTCACCGGACGTTTTCACGCCGCGTACTTCAGCTGCGATTAACCTTTCCACCGACGCCTTCTGTACGCTCCGCACGTTCTTCCTTGGGTTAATTCACAGGGCGGTTCAATCTTCTCAAGTTTAATATTAATCGCGTCGGGGCTTGTTTACGTTCGCCGAAGATCGGGCAAAAGTGCTACCAAAAGTTGGAGCACACTCTCGAAACCGAGAGGCTGAAATCTGACCGCGAACGTGGGTGCAGATTTCGTATTCGCCGACCTTAACCATCGAGGACAAGTGGAGTTGCCCACGTAGCATTCTGGCAGAAAAGAAAAACGCGGCCGAGAGGAAGGAAATTTGCGATTGCGTTCGGAATAGGAGTTTCGCGCGAGAACG